GTGTGTGTGTGTGTGTGTGTGTGTATGAGCATGTAAGGACACAATGTGACAGAAGAAAATCTTAATGTTATTTATATTTTGACAAAGATGTGGATGAAGTTGTTAGTTAACTGGAGTATTAAAGTGGCTTCATTCAGAATAAGACATAATTGCAACTATACAAACAATTTATTTACATTTCACAATCAAATATCACAGACTGTTGGGATCAGAGGGCATGTGAATGTGATTGGCTGCTGAGTGAAACCACCTCTACGGCATATTTGGTTCCACTGGGCTCTGACTAGCTGATAGGTAAATAATAAACCTCTGTGAGTAAAGAAAATAAAAGTTTTCCCTTTTCTGAACTACAAAAATATTGACAATAATCAGCCTAAATCTTTAAAAACTACTTTAATGAGATAAATCTGATTTGAACCTTTTATATAAGAAAACCTGACTTCTTTCACACTTTTTACATCAAACCTTTTCATCTGTATCATTAATGATAGTAATGAAAAAGAGTTGTGACACCAGTAAAATTCATACACATGATAAAAAAATATATTTGTCCTGTTTTATATTCTCATAAAATGATTAAATGAGCATTGATACAGAGTCTATGAACTACCTACAAAAGCAAAACAAACATGCTGCTGTTTACAGATTTGATTAAATGGTTTTTTTACCTGCAAATACAGCAGGGCAGAAGAGAAGCAACATAAATAACTTCATCCTTTCTGTATGGTTAAAGCTTGAGAATTTTCAGACCTTGAAAATATGATGGACTTGACTTGGAACTGTGCTAGATTCAAACCGTCACCCACCAGATCAACTCTCTGATGAAATAAGTCCTCCAAACTAAACAATTATATTTGCTCTTACTCTCAGACGGCCCACAGTTTCCAAAATGAGCCCACCTACAGCTGGCAGAAGAAACGCAAAAGGGAGATTATTTTCACTTATATCATGTCGTCTTTAAGCTGTCTTTGTTTTTAGTTCCCACAGACTTTTCACTGTTAAGAGATGGCGTGTCATTTTACATCCAACTTTTTATCAATGCTCTATGCTGAAATAAAAAGCCCCAAGCAGGCATGGGTAAGGACAAATCTCTGAGCAAGTGACAGAAAGATGTCAGAAAGCTTGTTGGGACTAAAAGAACTGAAAGGCTCTGAACAGCAGTGAAGTCAAATGATGGATACTCGGCTCCCCTCAGCCGTGCAGATGCAGAAAGTAACAGAAGATATGGAGTTTGCATGAGTTTAGCTGCTGGTGTTATATGAAGAATCTGTAACTAGCAACACTACAAGAGAGTCCAGGCAGGATTAATAATTTAAAAAAAAACTGAATAATTGAAAATTACACATGATTCCTGTGTCCAATCACCTGAATTCAAAGTACATATGGCATAAATTTACTGATACACTTATACAGGTCTTTCTGTAATCTTCTATTATCCAGCTCACACTGAGACCATTCTTTCCTCCTCTTTCAATAAGTGTGATGTGTTTTTAGTGAAGCTTTAGTCCTCATAGGATTATAGTATGGTATGTGTCATGTTTATAGTATACTGTCGTCTTACATTTTTACAGATGTAGTGATTTTCGACAGATGTAAAAATGTTAATGCTGTGGCAAAAACCTGCCCATACTGCAGCAGAGGGCAAGCATACCAGGCTCATGCAACTGAACTGAAAACCTTAAGGTCCTTGGAGGACTCACAGACGTAAGCCATTAAATGAAAGATAAACTTTTTCTTTCCATTTGTGAAATGAAAGTCATCTACCAAGATGTATATTTCAATTTTCTCATTTGAGCCTGTTTGACCTTTTTTTTTTTCTTAAAAATAACTAAACAATTCACTTTCAACTCTTTAAGATGGAAAAAAATCATGTGCCACAATAAAAGAAATTATTTATCATTGTTTTATCATTTGGTTGTGTCATGGAACAGCTGTGTGTTGCAGGAAAAGGACCCAAACATAATAAATAAATAAATCAACAATAATAATAACAAACAAAACACTGGGCCATTGCAAATGCAAAACTCTCGGAAAAAGAACTGAACTCAAAGATCACTGCTTTATTGCAGGCTTAACAACAATACAGAATACAACACTAGATTGGGAATGCTAAACAGAGACACAAGGAAACACAGGGAAACACACACACACACACAGCTCCAGGGATGAGACATTGACAACTAAGCACAGAGAACACAAGGCTTAAATACAAAGGCAGTAACAAGGAAAGGAGAGACACAAGAGAAGCACGGCTGGGAGCAATCCAACCTGACAAGAACCAAGGGAAGCAAAACAGAATGCATTAATCTGAGACACTGACCTTCAAAGTAAAACAGGAAACACACAGACTGAACACAGACAAACACAGAGACATGGGACCAGGGCGGGCAGAAACACAGAACAGAAGTTGCTCAAAATATAACCAGAGCCCAACCCCAAAGAACATGAAAACAAGAATTAACCTTAAGAACAAGATAATAATTACCAAAACCAAAACCACTGAGTCACAGACTCAGGACCATGACATTAACATGTAGCTCAAACATATGAATGTTTTATAGATAAAAGGTTTTGCACATCAATACAGAATATTTCTGAATACATGAAAAAGTAAGGAGAGAATGTCTTCTTGTTTAGAAGACATTAAATGTTCAAATAATTATAAAAAGTTACGGTAAGTGTGAACTGGGCTTTATGCCAAAGCAGACCCAGAGTGATTTATAAGCCATCTGTCCCATGCAGGTGATATGACCAATGATCAGACATAACATATAAATTCTCTAACTGAATGTAAATGTCAAATTCATTACATGAAACGATTATACATGTAATGCATGAATTATTATACATTAGATTTAATAAAGGGTGACAAATATTTGACTGTTAACTACACAAAAAGTAAACATATAAACATCCAGAAGAGGTAACACCCCTAAAGTTAAATGAACCAAGATAAATTCTATTTTTGAAATGATACTATATCAATATTTGAGCTTCATTTGAGGCACATACATTTATTGCAGTGTGGGCCTTTAAAATAAACAACAAAAAACTTTTTATGATGTATCATGTTACCTGTTGGGTATTTTGATAAGTACTGTATATAAAATGTAAAACTTTAAACTGTAGAAGAACTGAAACAGCCAGAGCAAAGTCATGCAGAGCGCAGAACTGCGTGAAGGATGGTCATGTTTGTGGATTTAGTGTCTCAGACTGTTCGGAGGCATTGGCAGGAGCTGTAAGAACACAAAGATAAAGCTGATATTTTCTATAATGTACAGTGATTGATGATTTCTGTTAGCAAACACACTAGCTTTCTAGCTAAACATGCAATAAAGAGTCAGGCAAGCAGAAATATGAATAGGGAAGTCACATTATCAAGAAGCATAAATATCACATGCTGAGCATGGTGGAACATGAGGGAAAGTACCACCAAGAATTTTTTTTTTACCGCAACAATCACGAGCTGTTTCAGTTTTTCTTTTTAACTCACACCGAGAAATGATTGGCAGACACATGACTAAAGGTCACATGACACAAAATCTCATCACTACTCCTTAAAAGCATTAAGCATCACAGGAACACGAAGCTTGTTTTTTGAAGTGTGCTTTTCATTCTAAATACCAGCAGTAATATGTTCTACGCTGTTCCACATGAGCAAACTCTTTTCCTCGAATGTAGTTCACAGGTAGAGATTTCAATAATTTGTGTTCTGCACAGCAATGAAGATCAGCTCTGTACTTATCTATTACACTGATGCTTCTCACATTATCAGTCAGGTGTCATATATTAATCTCTCTGTGGCTCTGAAACGTAAACTCTTATATATATATACGTATACGCTACTCTTTCAGGCTGTACGTGTTTGGAACTAATGTTAAATGTGTCAGTATGGACTAAAACACAAATTCAAAAACTAAATGTAATGTTTCTCCAACTGAGATCACTCACCTTTCTTTCTTTTGTATGCGACAACCGCCACAGCTGCAACAGCTGCAATGAGGACGATAGCTAGAACAACCGCTGTAGGTATAATGTGAGCGGGCTTCCCTATTGAACAAAATGTGGAAACACTTTAGTAATCCCACACATTTTTGCTCTGTGTTATAAAGAACAAGTGAGGAATGACTCAGTAAGGACCTCACAGTTGATGCATCTGACAAAACTGGAGGCAACAGAAAACCATTAAAACTCAGTTAATACTCCAATGTACTTAATCTTCTTGTGCACGCTGAAGATAAACCATACTTATAGTATTTCATTACTTTTTGCTTACTTCAGTTATCTACCATTTGTGTTCCATTTTAAGTGAAGCATCTTACTGATTTGTTAGTAATTGTTCTTTATGAATTGATAATAGAATTGTTTGATTGGATTGGTGAACACCAGTGTGACAAAGGTCAGCTTATCCAGCAACATCTCAAGAAACTTAATATTTTAATGTAAAACCCTTACACCATTATCAAGACTTGATAACACTCAATTGATCGTATATGTTAAAACAGCTTTTAACAGGAAGAAACCTCCAGCAAAGAACATTAGACAACAGATGTTGAAGATGGAGGTGCCACCAGAAGGAAACGGAAAATTGATGTAGTGAAGGAGGACATGCAAAGGGTTGGTGTGACAGAGTATTCACTTTTTAAAATCAATGGCTACTCTGTAAAAATAATTCATAACCATTCCAGGATCCAGTCTTACCCCAGTTGGTCCTGATCAGGGTTTTGTCCAGTTTGGTGGTAATGTCCTCGTTCACACCAAAGAGCTGAAACACACAGTCGTACCTCTCCCAGTCTTCAGGTGTGACTGATGAAACATTCAGATCAATACTCATCTGGAAGGTCCCATCATTGTTGGGAAGGATCTCTCCAGGATCCACACCTTCATGGAGCTCTTCTCCATCTTTCCTCCAGAACATCAAACCTCTGTCAGGATAGAAACCTGTAGCGTGGCAGCTGACTGGAGAGGATAAAGACTTCTGGAGGAGAGACACTGAAGGAAGGACTGCAAAAAGATAAAGCTAGGAAGGTTTTACATTGTCTTTGAATTGTCATATAATTTATTTTATTTTTCTACACCAGATTCTTTAATTCTACCTGCTGTCTGCAAAAACTTTTTCCCATACTGAACATACTTCTTCAAAAACTCAGGGCATTCGTGGACATAAAAGTTCTTATTGCATTTTAATTGATCTTCTTCACCATCCCATCTCAGTTTGGTGATGACAGCCTGTGGTTTTAGAGCAATCCATGTCAGTCGCTGCGGGTCAAATGTTAGAAAGTCTTCTCCATCATAACTGTACTGGTTGAACGCATTAATCTGTCCAGTCTCGTCATCCCATTCACAGCCATTCAAACTCTGGAAATTATGAACACCTGAAAAAAGACATAGTGACAATAACTGCAGGAAACCAGTGAGATGTGAGCATTACAGAAACAAACATAGAAGGACATACAGTTACTGGCACATAAAACAGTTTATCAACTAATGGACACTGTGGAAGGTTCACCTTTTTCTCTGCTTCATTCACTGTTCTTATTTTCTTTTCTTCTTTTCTCTTCACGTGTGCGTGAAGTAGCAGATCACATTATGTTATTTTACATTCTATATCTAACCCTAATCTAATAAACTTTTAGTTTTTTATTTTAAACCAAAACCACAACGAAAATAAATTCTGCTGCAACAAATGAAACAAATTCATACCTTCGGTTTGGTTGAAACGTTTCCTCAAATTCTCAATGTAATGTTTGAATAAGTGTTGGACATGCAAAGAGCGAGCAGTGTACCACTCCAGGTGCTGAGGGTCATCCTTCATGAGTTTTTTCATCCATTCTGTTTTGGGTTCTGGTCGCTCTGTCCTGCTATCATAGTAACTTTTCTGAACTCCATCAACAAGTCCAACCACCACAAACTCCGGAATGTTCTGGACTCCAGATGTTTGACAGAAGAAAAACTTCAAGGAGTGTTTCACTGTAACAATAATCAGACTTTCAGTTAGGTGGCATTGCAGTTCTATACAGTGGCTTGCAAAAGTATTCGGCCCCCTTGAACTTTTCCACATTTTGTCACATTACAGCCACAAACATGAATCAATTTTATTGGAATTCCACGTGAAAGACCAACACAAAGTGGTGTACACGTGAGAATTGGAACGAAAATCAGACATGATTCCAAACATTTTTTACAAATAAATAACTGAAAAGTGGGGTGTGCGTAATTATTCAGCCCCCTGAGTCAATACTTTGTATCCATATGTTAACCAAAACAGAGAGAGAGAGAGAGAGAGAGAGAGAGAGAGCCGTTTAAATTTAAACAGTCTTTATCTGATCTATATAGTCGGTCTGACCTCTATTCTGTGGAAACAATGTCAACATCTGTACGTCGATGTCGATATTTACGTTTTTTCTTTCTTTTTTCTTTTTTCAAATGTTGATTTATGGTCTGTGATTTATGAAAGCAAATGTACAACATAAAACTGTCCGCGGTCTGTCTCCTCTCAGTAAAATCGTATTTTCATTCAGATGTAAAAGTGAAGCTGAAGACAGTGAAAGTACAGAGAGAGATCAAATTTCCAAATAAAATATCAATAACGTGGACATAATCTTACCTGATGACGCAAACTGACAGAGGAAAAGCAACAATAACAACCTTCCCATCGTAGCTTCATTTGGATTATACCTTTAGGACCAAAGCAGTGAGTTATTGTTCTAATTTAGCCCAGGCTTCTCCCATTTGGCAGCAATGACTGTATAAAAGATATACAGTCATTGTTTGGCAGAGGTAACGTTGACGTATCGTCCTGAAGTGGATGTGAAACATCACATCCCGTCCTCGCGGCTGCGGTAGACAGCCGCCTACGAGTCAATTAAAAACACGTGTGCTTTATTAAAAATGAAAGCTTTATGTTACAGTATCAGAACGAATTTATTTTGCTGTAATACTTTGAAAATACTTTGAAAATAAAGGTTTTTTTTAACTTGATTTTGAGTCCTCTGAAATAATAATAGCAACCCAGATTTAAAACAAATGCTGTCTTAAATCTGATAAATGTATATTATTTCCTGTTTTAAAACGGAATGCAATAATTTTCCAATTTTATTGTATTTAAAAGAGAAGAACATAAACTATATTAAATGCTTAAAGGAACACATTTTACTGTTTCATGTAGAATATTACCCAATTTTAAATATAATGACAGCTATACCATATCATACACTTTGTGCGATACAATCATTTATCGTATTGAGCCTGATTAAAATATGACATCAATTTTAGATGAAGCTTTGCACATATGTACTCTGAGTGATCCAAAAGAAGAATGTACTGAGAATTTCATGTCAACTATCAAGGGTTAATTTTAATGATTTTGAAAATGCAACAATAACACAACAATGACAACTGAGGATACAAACAGACAAATGTGGCATGCAATGGAAAATTCTAATTTTAGTTTCATGTGTTTAGAATCTCAACTGCCTGCTTAAGATGAACCAAGTATGTGTCAGCTTGAGCTTGTGAAAACTGCTCATCTAGGCCTAACGATGTTTCACTATATTATCTGCTAACCGTCTTGCTCAGTTTGTGCGATGTTATAAAAGGGGCGCTGCTACGCCCCGAGGTTAGAACGCTCATTACTAACCTGTTATGTTTTGATGTGTATGCGTGTTCTCCTGCGCGCTCTTTCCGTGTTGCAGACGTGAATCACAAACTTCCACGACAGACAGTACATACCACAAGAAAACAGAGAAGTGAAAACTCCTAACAGAAACCCAGGGACGATAACCAGACAAGAGTATAACAGATCTGTTAGCTGTAGGTCACATGACACCATAAAAACAAGCTTTCGCTTTCTGTGATGCTTAATGTTTTTAGTGAGTAAAGAAAACTGCAGTCAAAAAGATCATGTGTGTGATTTGCATGTTAAATGGCAGCATTTGTTTCACATAAACCAAACTCTTTTCCCCAAATTTATTTGAAATATCGCACAGCTAAGGAATTCAAGTTTATGTTTTTAGCAGCTATAGAGACCGACCTACAGCTCTTTACTTATCCTTGAGATAGATGGAAAAATGGAGTTAGAAGATAATATCATTTTATTTATACATCATCAGTTTACTTTCATGCAGTCATTTCACTGTGGCTCTGAGATCTGTACTGTTATTTCAGGCTATAGTGTTTGGAACTAATGTTACATTTGTCAAATGCCCCCACTGTGGCCATTCATACTACACCAAAGTAAATAGATAAACAATATAAAAAATAAAACACATAAAATTTCCTGTTTTTTTTAGTATGTGAATTAATTCAATTTGATTCAATTCAGTTTTATTTATAAAGCACCAAATCACAACAACAGTCAGCTCATGGCACTTATATTCTAAGCTAAATACTACAATAATATTTACAGAGTAAATAATCACATAAATCCTTAAGAGCAAGCACAGTGGGATGGAAATCCTCCCTTTAATAGAAGAAACCTCCAGCAGAACCTGGCTCAGGTAGGGGCGGCCATCTACCACGACCAGTTGAGGTGAGAGAGAAGGAAGACAGGACAAAAGACATGCTGTGGAAGAGAGACAGAGATGAATAACAAGTACGACTCAGTGCAGAGAGGTCGGTTAACACACAGTGAGTGAGAAATGTGACTGGAGAGGAAATACTCAGTGCATCATGGGAATCCCCCAGCAGCCTACACCTATTGCAGCATAACTAAGGGAGGATTCAGGGTCACCTGAACCAGCCCCAACTGTATGCTTTACCAAAAAGGAAAGTTTTAAGCTTAATCTTAAAAGTAGAGTTAGTGTCTGAATCCCAAGTCCAAACTGTAAGCTGGTTCACAGAAGAGGGGCCTGAAAAATTAAAGCTGCCTCCCTGTCTACTTTTAAATACTTTAGGAACAACAAGTAAGCCTGCAGTGTGAGAGCAAAGTAATCAAAGATATTTGCACTGACAGAAACAGTGCACGTAAGGTCAAAATGGACTGTATGTGGGGATGGGTTTGATATCTGTAGTTAATGAATGTACCTGGCAAAACTGAGTATAAAAAATCCTTTTTAACAGCAAGAAATTTTCAGCAGAACTAAAATCCGGGAGGATAATCATCTGCTGCGACCAGTTTGGGTGTAACAGGAAAATGTAGCGAGAAAAGATAAGCTGGGGAAGATTAGAGATCCCAGACAGCAGACTCCATTGCCATGATGTCAGTATTATGCAAGATTGTAGTTAGTATATTGGGCATAGTTTGTGCATTGCAGCATGACATCAGGATCAATATGTTGCTGAAGCATAGGCTGGATGTAGGGAATAGAGGGAGAGGTCTGATGGAAGTGAGGAGACAGGTGTGGCCTCTGTGAGTTTTCAGTTAGTTGTTAATTGTCTATTGATAACAGAGCGTGAACCTGTTAACAGAGGAAAAAGTACTCAGGTCTCTGCTGTCTTCAAGCTGCTTCTCTTGGCTTTGACTGTGACTTTGTTAATGCTAGATCATAAGGTTAATTTTTGAGACCACGGTCTCCTGTTGCTGATAGCAGCCTGTTTGGGAGCTAGCTGATATGTGAGAGTATTGGGCAGATTAAGTATTTCATGCCAGCATTCCCCAACAATAAAAGACAAAGTGACATTAAAGAAAAGATTTTCCAGCAAAGTCCTTGATCTGTTGTGACCCATCTTAGAGTCCTTGAGTTTGTACTCATAGGAAGTTGCTCCATCTACAACAGTGTAGATAAACTGTGGCTGACAGGTAGGCACAAGGGTCTCCTCTGCTGCTTTCCTATTGTTCAGGTAAACTGCCAGTTACATTCTTCAGGCAAATTTGGGAAGTGATCTCAGACCTCTGATGCCGTCAGAATTCAGCCAGTAGCTTTCAATAAAAGGTTAAATGTATGAAAATAAGTAAGATGAAATATGAGTTATAGATATATAAAACCTCACTGCTGATGCCAAACGAAACCTGAAGAATTTATCACAGTGTCAAAGTTACTAAACATTACTGTTAATGACTTTGCTTGTAACGTCTCTTCATGGATGAAGTGAATCTGAAAACACTCCCAGTATGATGCTTTAAAAAAAAGATCTCCAATCAAACAGAATTGCCTAGAATATGTAAAATGTTATAATGTTTTTGTTGTTTTTAGGGCAAAAACAGGCTGTCTCAGTCACCATGTATTGATCAGCCCAATCAGTTTAAACCTGCTATCAGTCATCTCCTGCTATTCACTATCAGCTGCTTTCTGTTTTCATGAACACACCCAGTTTCACTGCTCTCACCTCATCATTTTCCCCCTCCTGGTGTCAGAAAACCGATGAGTTTAAAAAACAGTTGAATGTATCAAAGTAGAGACAGCTCAATCACCCACTCACTCTCCATGGCCTCATTATAAATCACTTTAATGAAAATTCATGTGAGGGTAATACTCCTAACACCTTAATGTGGGAACTTTAATATAAGTACATTCTGAGTTGAAGTATCCCACATGTGAATAAAATTATTTTTAAAAGCCTCTGATTATGCGAGAGAAGCTCACAACCTGATGATGTCAGAAGGTTCAAACAATGATTTATAGTTGGTGTGAAGGAGCATCTTAATTCAAACAGAAAAGTGTTATTGGTGTGATGACTAATGAAAACAGGAAACTACAGAAACACAAAACCTTGTAATATATAATGCTGAAGTTAAAGGTTATTTTGATCAGTTTTCTTTAGGGTTATTTAAAAGTATTTCCTTGGTCATTAAAAGCAGTTAATAGAGTTAACCTGTAGGAAGACTCCATGTCCCTCAGGTTTGAATTAATCATGCCCTTTTGGGCTGCAAATGTACTGCAGAAGGGCCACAGTAATTACAGAAATTCAGTTTGACTTCACCTCACACTGTCCTCATACATTTCCTGCACTGCCCTCACATACTTCTCTGCCACTCTTCACATCCTCATATTGTTTCTCTCTTGGCACAACAGAGTCATGTATAGAGTCACTTAGATAGTTTGGCCTACATAAACATAAGCATAGACAAACAGAGCTGAAAAAAATTGAAGTTGGGCCTGTTCATACAATACAAACATCCAACCGAGTACTAATTTACAGGAAATGTACAGCAACCTGTGCACCAGTGGTCTATAAGACATCACGTTACATGTGGAGAAGTTTAATCAGTAGTATTTCTAAAGTATAAAAACATTAAGCTGTGCAAGATACAAAATACAGCCAGAGTCAAACGGTCATTTTGAAGAGTGGGTGGCAGGGAATATGGAGAATATCATATGACACAAGTCACTCAAGAAAAGTGTGACTCACACAGAGAAGTGAAAACTACAGAAACCCAGGGTCACGAGTAACTGTTAACTCATGTTCACAAGTAAATTACAGAGTAGTCGTGTTTAAATGCTGACTGGTTGCATTTATCTAAATGTGCAATGGAAGGTAAATTAAGTTTATAGATATAAATACAGATTTATTCAAAAGGAGTAAAATGATAACTTTTTTCCTTAAAATAATAACTAATAATAACTTTTTTAAAATCTAGAAACACATAAAGTCATGACACTCATTCTAGATGTACAGTAGCACCTTTGGATATTTTGCTTTTGATCTGTCTTTTAAGGCTTTATGTCTGTTTTTATGGTATTTTAAGCATTTTAAATCACTTATAATATTTCTGTTTCTAAACTATATTGTTTTATTTTTTTTAATTTAGCTTTCAATTATGAGAGATAATAAATCTCATATCCGTCACATCCAATGACAATAGCAAGTGTCTATTCTCTCTTGAGTGCAGGTATTTGAGTGTGAGTCCTCTTGTACTCCTGGTTTAACTGTCTGGTGCATTTAAAGGGTTAAAGCTGAATCCACTTCTTCCTACTTTCTACTCATATCTGTTTCCACTGTTTTGCTTTGTTTTTAGAAGTTTTCATTTCTTTCGCCTCGCTGTCCCTCGTATTATTCCTTCATAAACTTTGGTAAGTGACAGCTTTCAGTGGTTCTCTGTTCTCATCTCTCTCTGATGATTTAATTGGATTAGGCTCCTGTGGTGGGGCGTGGTCTGCGGTGCCATGCAGGGAGGGCGGACGCATCTGCACGGCATCCTTAATCACGCCCGCCTAGTTAAAAACACGGGGACTCAGGGGTTTGGGTGTGTTGTGGTGTGACAAATATTGAATAAAATGGCTCAAACCTATGATCCCTGGACCCGCCGTGTCTCAGTCACACCACAGCTCCTTAAAAGGCTTTTTACAGCTCTTTAGTAATATAAAAAAGACTCTTGACAAAGTACACAATGAGCTTGAAATAAGGAGGTGTTTGCATAAAAAGAAGTCCTCTGACAAATCAGCACGTGGCATGTGAAGCCTACTCTAACCCTACTGCTGAAATAAATGTTACTTAAAACATTTATTTCACTGTATTGTCTTTTTATTTTTATCTTATACTTATACTTTTATTTAGTGTCACCTGCTACTGGATGCAGTCAAATCATGTTAGATATGTTATGATATGATATGATATCTTTATCTTTATGATATCTACCAGATTATTTACTGTTTTTAGTCAATGAATCCAAATGTACATCATCAATCCAAGATGGCGCCAGTGTGCACGCCGTGCTGTCTGGTGTTTTACTTTCTCTGTGCTGCCATGATGTCTTTGCGCTACTTATCTATGATCAAACTCTTTGAATCTTTGGCCATTGAATCACAAAACGCCTGATTTGAAATGGAAACCAGAGAATTTTCCTCCGCTTCCAACAGACATTTCTGACTACATACGCCGCCTACCAT